CACACCGTTCGGAAAGATCCAGTTCAAGAACTTCCAGGCCCTCTCCGACAAAGTGACGTCCCTCACCGACAAAGTGCAGCCCCAGGAGCTGAAGCAGTTGCATGAGGGCGTGGCGAATGCAAACAAGGGGCTGAAGGATATTGTGGAGTTTTTCTGCGAAAAGTACCCGCAGCACGAGGACGATGAGAATGTGAGTATTGTTGCTGAGGCGAAGGCCTTCAGCATCACGAGCGCCACGGTGGCGTTGATCAAGAACCCGCTGAACGACAGAGTGCAGCACCACAGGGCGATGACGAAGCAGCAGAAGGCAGCCACCGAGAACGAGGCCGTGAACAAGGCGCTGCACAACCTCGTCGTTGCCCAGCTCGCCAAGAGCACGAAGCAGACGACTTGAGGTGGGTGCGGCACGGCGGCGTGCGCAGGTGGATTCGGCGCCCGCGGCGCTGGATATCCGTTGTAGTGGAAGCAATCACCGCCATATTAATCCACCGCCCCGTTTTTCTTCCTGGGATCTCTCTCGGGCCGCATGGGGCCGTCCTGGGGCCACATTGGGCCCGTCCTGGGCCGCCTTTGGCAGTCTCGGACCGTCTTGTGTCGTCGTGGGGCGTTCCCGTGTGGAGCCAGGGCCACGTTGGATCTCGCTTGGGCCGTCTAGGGAGCATCTTGGACGTTCTCCTGCGGCCGCTTCGGAGCTTACTAAGGTCATACGGGCTAGTCTTGGAAACGTTTGGGGCACTGGAGGCCTCTTGGGCTCTCGGGGTGCATCGGGGGTTCCCTTTTGCGAAGCAGGCGACGGGCCAAGTGCTGCAAATGCGACGTTTGAGTTGGCGCCCGATTCTGTTTCCCCCGCCTCGGCGAGGAGAGAGGGATTCAATGCGATAGACGGGGGTGGGAGGAATGGGGGAGGATGTCAGATGTGGCGCGAGCGCACCTAGCTTGCCCTCTCCCCTCTCCTTTTGCCCCCGTCCGCCCTCCCTCCCCCGTCGTTCCTCCATCCTCCTTCGCCCCATCCATTCCCCTTTACCCCTCTCTTCTCTCATGTCATCCGATTCTCCCCCCCCTCTCTCCCCCTTCCACACTCTTCCTTTCGCCCCCCCGCCCCTGCCCTATCCTCGCCCGCTCTCCCCCTTCCCCCCCTCTTCGTTTTCGTTTCAAGCCACTGGGGAGAGTTCGAACGCATTGGGCATAACTGTTGCTCTGCGTGTTTTATTTGGTCCCGCGGGCCTGCGAGTGCCTGCGGAGGGCGCCGCAGCGCGTCGCCAGCTGAACCGCGCAGCTCAACCATGTGAACTTTCCCATTGGTCGGGGGCAAATCTGTTGAACTCTGTTTCCAACTCAAAACGCAACTTTTTTATGGTTTTCAACGAACGTCGGTTTCAACTATGTTTCCGACTCTTTTCCAACTCCGCAAGATATCGCCGATCAGGCCTCTGTAGGAGGCGTTTGGCTCCTCAACTCAATTACGAGGTTGCTCAAGGTCGGCTTGGCTGGAGCCCAGGGGAAGAGGTCTCCCAGGGAAAGGGAAGGACAGAGACGACGAGTACAAAGAATGACGGAGATGACGGCTCGAACGGAAAAGCCCCTCACACACGCCGACAGGGTCGGCGGATTCGCGCCGGCGCCGTCTGGAAACGCTGGGGAAAAACAAGTTCTTACGGCGCCAGCGCGAATCGTGACGTGACTGGGGGGGAGGGCGGAGGGTGGGGCCGGGCACGGGCGTTGTCGCGAAGAATCAAACAAGGGCTCCCTGGGGAGCTCCTGGTGCACACAAGTCCAGGAGTCCAAACTCGACATGGAGGGACGCTCCCTCCAGGAAGACATGCTTCGGGCCGAGCCTGGAAGCCCAAATCAAGCCCGTCTTGGGCAGTCCGGGGGCCGTACGGTGAGCGCTGCTGCATCAGCACACGTTGGGCGATACTGCTCACAAGTTGGTTCCAAAGTGGTTAACCACCACATGCACCACCTTCTCTCGGAGATGCCCGAAAACGAGACATTCAATGCGCAACACCACCACGCCTCATACACCGCCTTCTCTTCGAGGCGCAAGGAAGCAACATATGATGCAGACAGTGATGGAAACCTCGCCAAGGGATAAACAAGCTAGAATATACCAAATCGGCATGAATGGACAGCGGCAGGTGGAAAATGGTGCGGTGACGAAGAGTTGCAAGATGCCGCCCATCATTCGAAAACTCCACACCACACGGACCTAGAACACGTGCAGGACGGCCTTGAAGAGAATGTTAAGCGGGGTCCGTTCCATTCCCCAAGGACACCGTTACGGTGAACACGAGCGAACATGTACCAGAAGACGAACGCGCAGCGGAGCAGCTTGCCCCAGCCGCCTTGCAGCAGCCGCTCTGCAGCGGCGATTCCCTGGCCCCGCCAGCTCCATCAGAGCGCCTTCCAAGGCACGCGCCGACAGCAGGCCAAACCGACGTCCGAGCCAAACTGGCTCCGGAGACAATTTCGTCTCAAGTGGGGGGCGGGCTCCCACTTGGGCAAAAGTGGCTACGGCCGTGGGGAGCTCCGCCTGCGGCCCAAGCGGCAGGGTCAACATGCGTCCCTCCGCCCGTTCCGCACTCCTCACGCGGATCGTGCTCCGCACGGAGCTCCGCATATGGCCTCAGTGGGCGCGTTCGCGTGCGGGCGTTCGCCCGTTTCGGCGCAGCCTTCGCTCGGATCGTGCCCCACAGGGAGCTCCACCCACGGCCCCAGCGGGCGCGTTTGAATGCGCTCTCCCACCCGATTCGGCATACCTCTCACGCGGTGCGTGCCCGAGAGGGAGCTCCATCTACGGCCCCAGCGGGCGCATTCTCATGTGGGCCTCCGCCCATGTCGGCACGCCCCTCACAAGGATCGTGCCCCACAGGAAGTCAGCGCGCCTCTGCGTGCTTGCTCCGCAGCGCGCCATCCGCACTGCCCCGTCCGGCACGCAGTATAGCAAGGGAGGGCCACGCGCTGCGCCACCCGCAGTTGCACAGGGTTGGGCCCATCGCCAGGCTCGTTCCCACCCCCAAACAGTGGCAGTGCTTGCACGTAGTGGTTTTTATCATGGTTGCACGAGGACTTGGATGGGTCAGCCGAGGTTTCGCCTCGCGCCCGCCCGTGGGCGCTTCATGGGCGCCTCGCGTTGGGTGGGTCAGCCGAGGTTTCGCCTGGCGCCCGCCCGTGGGCGCCTCGACGGCGCCTCGTGCGCTGGGTCGGCCGAGGTTCACCCCGGTGCCCGCCCGTGGGCGCCTCGTGGGCGTCTCGTGCGCTGGGTCGGCCGCATCGATTGTATTGCACAGCTTCTAGTCACAGAGCTGACACCACGTGGCGCATACCACGTAGTTTGCACCCGCACAGCTTGCACCACACAGCTCACACCTCACAGCTTGCACCACATGGATGGCACCGCGCAGTTTGCACCACGCCGCACGCAGCTTGCACCGCACAGCTTGCACCACAAAGCGTCCACCACTTAGCTTGCGCTACATTGCTACATGTCTTGCACCGCATAACTTGCATCACGTCTTGATGCAAATTTGTCGGAGGTTGGGGGGTGAGATCGCAGTGTAACGGAGTCCCCCCGCCGGGAAATCGAGCTTCGAGTTCGTGCTCGTGCCGTGCGTGCGGGCGAGGCGAAGTTGTGTGGGCGGGCGAGAGGAATTCACTCTGCTGTCGCTAGGGGTCCGCCAACACAAATGTTTCCCCCCCGGCCTTGTCAAGCGGGGGCCCGCATTGTCCCGTCGGTGGCTCGCCGTTGTCCCGTCGGTGTCCCGTCGGTGTCCTGTCGTGAGATCGATAGTGAGATCGACTGTGAGACCGATCGTGAGATCGATAGTGAGATCGATAGTGAGATCGATAGTGAGATCGATCGTGAGACCGAATGTGAGATCGATTGTGATATCGATTGTGATATCGATTGAGATTGATAGTGAGACCGAATGTGATATCGATAGTGAGATCGATGGTGATATACCTATACGACCACCCTTCGGGTGATAAGGAGGTGAGGGGGTAGGAGGAACCAACGCGTCATTCAATACATCTCGCGACCGATCCCACTATCGATCTCACTATCGATATCACTCGATCGATCTCACTATCGATCTCACAATCGGTCTCACAACCGATCTCATCATCGATCTGATTCAGTCGATCTCACTATCGATATCACTATCGATCTCACATTCCGTTTCACTATCGATCTCACAATCGATCGCAATCTCGGTCTCGCATTTGATCTCAGTATCGATCTCATTATCGATCTCACCATCGATCCCACATTCGGTCTCATAATCGATCTCACGATCGACCGCACTAGCGATCTCATTATCGATCTCACAATCGATCTTACCATCGACCCCACAATCGATCCCACTATCGATCTCAATATCGATTTCACCACCGATCTCACTATCGCAGCGGCAAACCGAACGACACAAGTCGCCCAAGCGAAAAAACAAAAACAAATCCGCCACGCCATCCACACCATCATCGCCCATCAGCACCACGTTCAACACAGTTGTCGTCATGAGCCACCCCCTCCCCCCACCCCCCCACAACCTCCTTATCACCCGCAGGGTGATCGTATAGGTACATTGATACAGATTGCGCCACATAGCTTGCACCAAATAGATTGCACCACACATCTTGCGCCTCCACACTGTAATAATGTACTGCTGCTTGTGGTCCACGCTGGCAAACATAGGTGGTTATCGCGGAGGTTCTCGATTTCGGCTTCTGGGGGTCGCTTTCGGGCCCCACGACTACCAAAGATGAACCCAGGGCGAAAACCTGTCCGCTGTCCGCGGGAAAGTGGGCGAGACCTCTGTGGCCCGCGGATTGAAAAAATCACATCGTCTGATGTTTAGGGAGGGCTTTCCGGCGACTTTGATGCACGGGATGGGCTCCTTGGTGCCGATGCCCAGCGCGTTTCGTCACTGTCACCGTCACCTCGCCCTGTCGTGCGGGACTCCATTTGTTACGTTTTCTTCCCGCACCTGTCGCGCGAGGGTCGAGGCGCTGAAGAAGGAGCTCAAGGTTGCCAAGGCCGAGGCGGGCGGGGGGGAGAAGCTAACGCGCTCTGCTGGGAGTGGGAGGAGGAAGAGGTAGACGACGTCGTCGACGGCGGCAAGAGGGGAGAGAGGAGAGAGTAGGGAGGAGGAGGAGGATAACGTGAGAAGGACAAGGAAATAATGAGAAGGATCGAGGAGGAGGAGGCGAGGAGGAGGAGGAGGAGGAAGTGGAGGACGAGGAGGACGAGGAGGACGAGGTCTCTGGGATGTCCTCAGCGCAGGCGCCCGCGCCGTGGGGTCGCTCCCCTCGCCGGCAGCAGGCCGCAGGCCGGGCACGCCGCGCGCGAAGCGTTGGCAAAACAAGCCTCAGGAACTCAACGCGTCATGGGCGGCTGCCCGTGGCAGCACCGCGAGCAGCTCACCGGCCATTCCACGGTCTAGCCTCTTCCGTTGCTTGGACCTGGAGCTGAGCTGCGGCTGCGACCTCGAGGAGGAGGAGGAGGAGGAGGAGGAGGAGGAGGAGAAGGAGGACGAGGAGGAGGAGGAGGAGGAGGAGGAGGAGGAGGGACCTCCAAGCGGCTCCACAGGGCGTTTCCTTCTTTGTTTTGTTGGTGTGCTCGTCAGGGTGCCCTGTCTGGACACGCCGCGCAGGACCTTCCAGCCCACGGCAAGGCTCCGCCGTACTACCACAACTTCGCGCTAGACCAGCGTGTTATGCACTTGAGATAACGCTCAGGCCGCGTCGTCGGTGGCCGTGCAGGTCGAGATTCTGGCTGCGGCCTCGCCGCAAATTGGTTTGGCTCGGCTTGGCGTGGCCTCCGGGGGATTGTTCCCGCAAGGGCACCGCAGGGTCTTCGTCTTGAAGAGCGCCTCCCCGCACGCACAGTGCGCCAGCTCCCATGGGGGCTCGCCTCTTGTGGTTTCTTCTCTTGGGAGGCGCGTTCTGCGTCGCTGTGCGCTGGCGGGGAAGCTGACGCCGCGGCGGGATGGTCCCACCGTGGATCGCCCCTTGCCGAGGCGGTCCATGTGGGTTCGGACAGGTTTGCTCCAGGGAATTCTGCTCCGTCCTCTGAGCGACTAGCTCCGAGCTGGCCGCCCTGGGGCCACGCTGATAGGGAAGCCTCTCTGCAGCTTCGGGCTGTCATGTGTAATTCGTGGGGCCAGGAGACGGATGAGGAGGAAGAGAAGGAGGAGGAGGAGGACGAGGAGGACGAGGAGGACGGGGGGACTCACGCCAACGAGTGCCCGACAGCACGCCGCAAAGACAAACTCGGGCCGAAAAGGGGAAGATGGGAGGGAGGCAGTGAGCTTCACGTGGCATGGAAGCCTAGCTGCTCTGATACTCCCGTTGTGCGACGCAACACGTACTGCGCGTGAAACGTCCGTGCCAATACGTTGCGTGCTGGCTCAGCGTATTGGTTCACATGTTGGCTAACGTCATGCCTATGTTTTCAGCCTACGTGTTGATCTTCGTGGCAACACGCGACGTGTTGCGTGTTGCGTATCGGCGGGGCAAGGGAGGGACCTCCACGTGGCCTGGAAGGCTTCTGATCCTGGCGCCTAGTCAGGGAGGCTTTTTGGGTACTCTCGTTGCATGATGGATACAGCCAGGGTCATCCGCTCAGTGTTTTCGTGTACATCGTAGCAGTGGACCCATTTCTGTACCAGGCCTCTCTGGTACCAGGGGTCGGGCAAGTGTGGGGGTTCTGCGATGATTGGAATTTGAATTTCGATGGGATCATTGCGACGGCGCTCGTCATCGATCTAGTGTGTGTGTGACTTTGAACAAGCCTCCGGCCAGGTTATCAACCGTGGCAAGACATTCTGGATGCCCAACCGGCCCCGTGCCCAGAGCGAGATGGAGTGGTTGTTCGAGAACCCCCATGTTGTGAGTAGGCATAAATCGTTTGGCTTTAGGTATGGGCCCGATGCGAGCGAAGCCGACGTCGTGGCTGAGCCCCTGTCGAAATTACGACAACGGCTTGCTGTCACTCGGTGAACCAGAGCAGGGCTCGCCACGCGGCCACTCGCCTGGAACGTGTTTGCTTTGCCTCTGCTGTCGCACATCATGAGATAACATTGTTTGAGCGGTGCAACGTTTGACGGGAAACGCGGGATAGCATCTTCGTTCTTTGAACGTGTTAGTTGGTGCCCGCTTCCTATGTTCTGTCACGCTAAAAGTTTGTTCCGAACTCTCGTCGAAGCAACTGACCCTTTCCTGGTCAATATCGCTATGCTGTTGTCCACCTCACTGCGGTTGGAAGGGCGCGGCTGCATTGACTGACAACAAATTCTGGCATGCACGCAGCAGCTGCCTACGACGCTTGCAGGATCAACTCCGCGAGCGCTCTGTTGTTATGCGAAAGCGCTTGGGGCCTTCCTCACAATCACGGGTAGCACTGTATCTGAAGCGTTGAGCGAACGAGGCCGCCAAGGCAGATGCGAGGTCAAGGCAGCAGGCTTGCATCGGTTTCTGTACCGCTGTTTTCACGAAGCCGAGGCCCCTCTCGCTGCGGCACTCGTTCGAGGATGGCTTCGCGCTCGTGGTCTCTCTTGGGTTGGGGCCCTATCAACCAAAACTTTCAGAAAATGCCTGCGTGCGTGCCCGGGGAGCATCGGCTTGCATGCATGCGGACGCTTCTGAACGGGGAGCTCACGCCGCATCGGTTGGCGCCAGTGCTCGGGCAAACTGTGTTGCCATGTCCGTTCTGCAGGGCTGCCAACGGGGATTCGGTGAGCCATAGAGCGGCGTGCCCTGAGCTCGCAACACTTCTGGCCCAGTTTCCCACGCAGTACTCAGTCTTCTCGTCCAGCGAAATGTGGCTCCAAGTTGAGCTCCCGAGCGCTTCCACCTTGCAGTGCGTCCTTGCCTTCACCAATGCAGTCGCGCGCTTGCGGCGTCAGCTCCTGGATGGGAGGCGTTTCCGCTCCTTCGAAGACATGGTTGTGCATGCCAAGCGATTGTACAATGACCCATGGTTTGCAGGGAGCCCGGTCAACACATCTCGCCAAGATCGTCGCAAAACGCGATCAAGAGCACCGGTGTTTGAACCAGGCGTGGTAGTGTATGCATCCGACGGGGCGGCGCGAACCAAGGGACCAAGGGACAGCAATGGAGCGGCAGTCCTCTTGTGGCTGCGTGCGTTACATTGCTGGATCCCGTTCTGTTGAGGCATGCTGCGGTCGCGAGTTGGGCGACGCAACCAACAACTGCGCGGAATATGCTGGTCTTCTCGAGTGCATGCAACATGCCCTGGAACATCCTGCGCCCAATGTGGTGTTTCAAGGCGATTCCATTTTGGTTGTGAACCAGGTCAACGGTCTGTGGAGGTGCCAGTCGAGCCTTCTCCGACCATCATATGAACGCGCGTTGGCTGCGCTCTCAAGATTGTGCCAAGTGGTCAGGGTGCAGCCTGTTCAAGTGCGGTATATATACACATATACTGGAACCATCCCGCGCGCTTCGCGCGCGCTTTGGTTCTAGCCGAGATCACGGCAAGGCCCTGGCAGAAGTATCAAGGCAGGCCTTTTCTTATGTGTATATATACATATATCTGTCCGTCCTTCTCCTCCTCCTCCTTCTCCTCCTCCTCCTTCTTCTCTTCTTCCTCCTCCTTCGTCCTCTTTCTCCTCCCCTTCCTCGCCTGTCTCTTTCCTCCGTTTCCTTAGTTCCTTTCCTTCTCCTCCACCACCTCTTCCTCCTTCCTCATTTGCTTCTGCTCCTCCTGCACGTTCTTCTCCTCTTCCCTTTCCTCCTTTTTCTTCCCGTCCTCCTCCTCCTCAATATCCTCTGCCCTTCCTCCTCCTCCCCCTCCCCTTCCCTCGTCCGGACGCCTCCCGATCCGGGCGCCCTCCCCGGTCCGGATACCTCTTGGAACCGTAGGCCCCACGACCCTTGAAGTCGGCCCCAGGAGTCCTCCGAATCCTTCGGTCCCTGGACGCTCCTGACCTCTAGGGTCGAAGATCCTCAATCGCGACCCCACGACCCATCGGCTTCCGAGACTCTTCGGCCCCACGACTCGCGGAGTGACGAGGAAGGACACACGGCAGAAACAAGGGAGAGAGAGGGAGAAGTCGAGGGGAAGCAGGAGGAGGCGGAGGAAGAAGAGGGAGAGGAACAGGAGTAGGAGGAAGAGCAGCCAGAGGAGGAGGATCAGAGGAAGGAGGAGGAGGGGGAAGGGCCGCCCAGGAGGGATCAGGCGCTTGAGCAAGGGGATGGGACTTATGTTCCCGGGAGTCTTCCTGGGAACATCTTGCGCGATAGGAGGAGGAGGAGCCCGAGAAAGAAGAGGAGGGGAACGAGAAGGAGGATAATATCGGCGAGGTGGAGAAAGGGAGGCACGCGGAATTACATTCCCGGGAAGCTTCCCGAGAACATATTTCGTGACAGCAGGAGGAGGAGCCCGAGAAGGAGGAGGAGGACAGGAAGGAGGAGGAGGGCTAGAGCAGGAGGAGGAATCTCGAGAAGGAGGAGGAGAAGGAGGAGGAGGAGGAGGAAGAGGAGGGGGAGGAGCAGGAGGATGAGAAGGACGAGGAGGACAGACACGCAGGACAAGGTGAGCGGCAGGAAGAGGAGGGGGAGCAGGACGAGCAGGACATAAGGAGTAGGCGGAAGGGAAGGAGGGTGAGGAGGAGAAGAAGGGGAGCGGGAGGAAGGGAGGTTCAGGGGGAGCAGGAGGAGGTAGAAGAAGGACAGGGGAGGTGCAGGAGTAGCATGTTGAGCAGCCGCAGCAGGAGGAGGACATGGGAAGAAAGTCGAAGAGGCAGGGTGGCGAAGAACAAAAGAAACACTCGAACGCAAGCAAAGAAATTATGTTCCCGGCAGGCGTTCCGGGAACATACTTCGAGAGACCGGGAGAGAGCTCCACAAGCAGGTGGGTGAGAAGGTGGAGAAGGGGAGCGGGAGGAGGGGGAAGGGGGAGGTGCGGGAGTAGCATGAAGAGCAGCCGCAGCAGGCGGAGGATCAGGGAATGACGATGGAGCAGGGCGGCGAAGAACAAAAAAAACACTCGAGGAATGCTGTTCCTGGCAGTTCCGGGA